AAGATTTACTCGTGAGTTTAAAATCATTCATCTACACTGAGATTTTATTTGTACCAATAAATACTCCTTTGAAACAAATATGATTGTYTTTTATAGTGGATAACCTAGGCTAATTATACCACATTAAGAGCAATATTTCTTTCATAAGTATCACCTTAACCTACTGCCATTTATTCTTTAGCTTCCTGTTTTGTGAATGTCCRTCAGCAGAACAAAGGAGCACTCTTGAGTCTGTTCTTCCTTCAACACAGAGCTTTTCTGTTTGTTTTATTTATTCGTCTTTGAGGTTTTACTAATTCACACTGTGTTCTGCAGTAAGCAGGTCAGACTACTTAGAACAGCATGCTTCTGTCAGTTTTAGCTGCCTCTAGCTTTCATCTTTCACACTTGGGGTAATTTTTTATAATAGCTACTTGAATTTGCTCCATCTGTGTCTCATTCTGAGCTTTGTGTTCAGCTCTGCCTCCCTCTCATATTCACTGTGGATATTTTGAATTAGTGAATGATTCATTTTCTTTCAAACGTTTCAATTTGGAAAACGTGCGAAGAATGTTCAGATGCTGAAATTATTCTCTTCACGTCTATTTTTAAAAGTACTTTTTGTATCTATTCTTTGTGCTACAATATTCAAACATGTTTGATGTGACATTGGCAGCAGAATTGTGTTACTGGAACTGGCATCGGTACAGCTGAAGATGTTGGTTTTCCTCAACTCTGCTAACTTTAAAAGGCCAATATCATGTAAAATCAACATTTTTTTGAGTTTTATATCATGTTATAATGTTATCCTCTAATCAAAAACATGCCCAGAACCTTGTTTTGATTCATTCATGCATGTTGTAGAAATCCTCTTCTGTCCTGAAGCAGCCAGGCAGGGAAGCAAAAACCACTGGTTGGGACCAGGACCGCCTTTTGGGACCAGCTCCTCCTCTGGTCTGGGTCTCCAAACCGAGCTTCCTCATCGCACCGCCCTGCAGGCAGAAATGGGCGGGACAGAAGCGGAAAGAGATTCTTAAAGAGACTAAGGCCAATTCCAAAGCATTTAGAAACAGATACAGCAGGTAAAATAAGTATTGAACACGTCAACATTTTTCCCAGTAAATWTATTACTAGAGGTGCTAATGATATGAAATTTTCACCAGATGTCGGTAACAACCCAAGTGATCCATACATACAAAGAAATCAAACCAYAAATGTCCAGAAATGAAGTTATTTGTAATAATGTGGAATGGCACAGGGAAAAAGTATTGAACACATGAAGAAAGGGAGGTGTAAAAAGGCATGGAAAGCCAAGACACCAGCTGAACTCTCTCAGTAATTAGAAAACAAGCCTGTCCCTTGTCAGTGCAAGTTAATATCAGCTGGTTCAGTCCCAAATGATGGCCAGGTATCACACAAGAACCATCTGATGATGGGTAAAAGTAAAGAGCTCTCTCAAGACCTTCACAACCTTATTGTTGCAAAGCATAATGATGGCATCGGTTACAGAAGAATGTCTAAACTTCTGAAGGTTCCAGTGAGCACTGTTGGGGCCATAATTCAGAAGTGGAAAGAACATTATTTCACCATAAACCGACCACGACCAGGTGCTCCTCACAAGATTTCTGACAGAGGAGTGAAAAGAATTATCAGAAGWGTTGTCCAAGAGCCAAGGACCACTTGTGGAGAGCTTCAGAAAGACCTGGAATTAGCAGGTACGATTGTTTCAAAGAAAACAATAAGTAATGCACTGAACCACCATGGCCTGTATGCATGCTCACCACGCAAGACTCCACTGCTGAAGAAAMAGCATGTTGAAGCTCCTTTAAAGTTTGCTGCACAACATTTAAACAAGCCTGTGTAATACTGGGAGAATATAGTCTGGTCAGATGAGACCAACATTGAACTGTTTGGATGCCAGAATACACATCCTGTTTGGAGGTCAAATGGCACTGCACATCAGCCCAAAAACACYATACCAACAGTGAAGTTTGGAGGTGGGAACATCATGGTGTGGGGCTGTTTTTCAGCATATGGTACTGGCAAACTTCAAATAATTGAAGGAAGGATGAGTGGAAAAATGTACAGAGACATTCTTGATAAAAATCTGCTTCCATCTACCAGGATGATGAAGATGAAACGTGGCTGGACATTTCAGCAAGACAATGAGCCCAAACACAAAGCCAAGGAAACTCTCAGTTGGTTTCAGAGAAAGAAACTAAAGCTGCTGGAATGGCCCAGCCAATCACCTGACCTGAATCCAACAGAAAATCTATGGAAAGAACTAAAGATCAGAGTTCATAGAAGAGGTCCACGAAACCTTCAAGATTTGAAGACTGTTTGTGTGGAAGAATGGGCCAAAATCACACCTGAGCAATGCATGCCACTAGTTTCTCCATACAGGAGGCGTCTTGAAGCTGTCATTGACAACAAAGGCTTTTGTACAAAGTATTAGATAAATTTCAGTAAGTGTGTTCAATACTTTTTCCCTGTGCCATTCCACATTATGACAAATAACTTCATTTCTGGACATTTATGGTTTGATTTCTTTGTATGTATGGATCACTTGGGTTGTTACCGACATCTGGTGAAAATTTCATGTCATTAGCACCTCTAGTAATATATTTACTGAGAAAAATGTTGACGTGTTCAATACTTATTTTACCTGCTGTGTGATGAGAAGACAAGTTTATTTTTTATTTAAACATTAAACCAGCATTTTAATAACAACTGAAGTAGTTACTTTATCATGGTATAGAATTTAAATATATGCCTGAGAAACACATAATATTACCCCTTTAAATTACTTTCTGTAATTTAAAGCCACTAATGGAGTCACAAATGTTACAAGTCGTCACTGTGAAACATTTTCAGAACAGACGCCTGCCTTGGACTTGCAGTACATCCGTTTTGTTTCTAAAAGATTCCATATTAAAATGTGTGCTTGACACGAATTATTCAGAGCAGTGCATGCAGTGCATGCGGTGCCTCAGTGCACGCACATTCACACACGCACACACACACTGCCAGGTTTAATTTGATCCTAACCTCAGCTCCATGTGGTGAACTGGTAACCAAGGGCACCTCTCTTTGTTCGCTGCTCCTGCCTCGACTCTGCGCTGTCTTCTTTCAGTTCGTGACTTGGAAACACCCCCTAGCACCTCGGCGCTCGTTAGTCCAACAGCGGGACGAGAATCCTTTTATTTATTTTTCCTTTTTTTTATCCTTTGCCTTCTACAACTGATTTGTAAAGCTTCAAGGAAACAGCAGAAGAAAGAYGTAAACTCCCAGCCAGAGTGAACTGGTCACCTGAAGGTGCACGCATCTCTCTGTTGTGATGGTGCCTTGCCAAACAGCCTGGAGCTGTTTGCAACTACAAACCTTCCACAAAGAAAGGCCTACTGTCAGGGGGGGCATCATCAAAAGCTGTTAGTTATTACACTAACATTAAATCTGAGCTGTGTAGATCAGAGCAAAGAGAAAACAACAACGGAGCAACGGAGGAGTCAACTGCAGGACAGAGTCAGAGAGGATTATGGCCCGGGTCTGCAGTCCCCTTCAGGCTTGATGGACATTTTAACAAGTTKTTGGTGATGTAGTCTGCAGCTTTAGGCTCCCAGTGGTCTCATTAAACAAATTTTCAACATCAGTGTGCGTAGGTTTCAGAGAAAAAAAAGGTTTTAATATTTCATATGCATATGCAATGTAAAATAAAGTACTCAACACTAATATGCTTTAATGTGTTGTCTTCTCTGCCTCTTTAAACCCAAGGCATGTGTTTATATGTAAGCTTTGAATGTGTACATCTTTGACTAGTTCAGGCAGTGAAGATGCTAACAGTGATTGTAACCAGGTGGGTGATAATCCAACATTATTTACTAAAAGAAAACAGAATCAAATGTGCAAAAACCCCAAGGACTGGGGAGAGTTGGGAAAGTTGATCACAGAAAAACTGCCAGTACCGTGAGGCAAAACTGAACTTCCTGTTTTCTATGTCTTTTAACTTCTGTAATTTAAACATACACRTGTGGGTTATCCACATAAACGCCAGAAACCTGGTTAAAAGCTCATAATAACCATTTTAGATCCACCAAACACTACAAGCAGTTCAATCAGGGAACAAACAAAATGTACAAAAAGTCAACTTAAATCTGTAAAAAAATAATTTATTCATTTATTTATTTATTGAAATGTAAACCAAAGCAAATACCAATACTTTTCAGGTATGTTAAAAAAATGAAAAGATTTTTGCTATTAAAAACCTAAGATTTCTCAGCTTTTATTGATGGAACCATGATCCATCCTGAGGGGAAAAAAAAMCATTCTTTYTTTACTAAACCTCTGTTAAYKTTAGCAGCATGAATCTTTGCACAGGTGATGTTCACGTGTGGGTTTATTGTTTCCAAGTGGTTTTAGAGAGACCTTTTATTGTYATTGTACAGAGCACAATGAAATTACAGTTCASAACACCCATTCAGAAGAAGACAGAACATAACAAACATGGGAGAACTGGTGCCGTGGGTCATGCTGCCACTGACCCTGCACAGAGCAAAGGATCATCTTCATGAAGACATCWTGAGGAGGKGCARCCCTTTAAAGAAAAACTAAAAACCACACAAGGACAGATGAGGAAAAAAAACAAAAACATATATCAACACTGTGACAYGGTTAGCCTTAATTGTTGTATTTTGAATGCGGTATTTGCTGTCTAATGCAAAAGAAACTTCAGGCAAGGAGAAAGACTTAGCTTTGACACTTACACTCCTGATGAAATCTCCCAAGTGTTAGCTTTATTTTGATACCAAGATTATTTAAGTAGAGTTTGTAAATACTGAGACACAGTAACATTTCAGCACGTTATTTCAAGCACAAACTTTAAGTAAACATCTTGGRGCTGAAAAGGCTAACTAGCGATAATGTTGCTTGTGATCTCTTAAACAGCAGATGATTGAAGCAAAGTGAATTTGTTAACTTTTAAAAAAACGTAACCAAATTTTGTTTCTTTTGTCACCCTCCTGCAGAATGTACGGCGAGCTGACAAACTGCACGTACCTGGTGGCGCTGAACATGGGGTGCTACTGGCCCAACCGGCTGGTGGACGAGTTCTTCATCAGCGTCCACAGGCACTACTTCCACGACTGCTCGCTGTCCGGACGACTTCTCAGGGACCCCCCGAACCGCATCCTGGGTCCTTTCATTGTTGTCCCCATCCTGGTCACACTCCTGATGACAGCGCTGGTGGTGTGGAGGAGCAAACGCAGCGAGGGGATTGTGTAGTGATGGAAAACAAGGAGGTCAGGGAGAGTCAAAATAAGAACCGACCTAAAGATCCCTCCTTACCTGAGTGTCAATGTTCAGGAAATAAGGCATTACTTATGGACCTGGAGGAAGAGCTGAATAAGACTTTAAATAATATTTTACCTCAGTGCACAAGTGAAGCCATTACAGTTGCKTTTAATGAGAATCTTCATGAATTGGAGTCATTTTTTGGGTTTATAGACAGATTCTTTCTGCCGTATTGACCCGACTCTGATCTGGACCAGAATAATGACTGGTTAAACGGTTCTGTATATGAAGATGAACTGCAGCCTAAAGGTTCTGGACATCGTGGCAGAACTCCTACACTTWTGAGAATCTAACAGCTGTCTCTGAGAACTAATGAAATATGCATTTCTGCAGTAGACATCTAAACAAAAAGCTCACATAAGGAAAGGAGATAAAAAGACTCACGGCTCTGAAGAACCTGTGGACTCCAGTTTAAAATGTGTACATACAGTATACCAGAAATATGCACAATGTGTACATTTGTTTTTGTGATTTTATGTGTTGCTTTTGTTCATGTCTAATATATATGGGCATATATACATGAAGCTTCCTCGTGACAGCTAAAATTGACACAATAGCAAAGCAGATGTTCAATTCAGATAAGCGAAAGCACCGTTGATACAGGTGTGGATCCAGAGTTTGGATTCAGAATAATGTATTCTGAAACTTTGATACTGCATCACTGTGAAATCAGGARAAAAATCACTTAGAAAAACACAACTCAGGCTAAAAGGAAGACCTAAAGTGGTGGGTTACTGTAAGTTAGCCAACGCACAATGCTGCTGAGCATTGCCATCGCCCAAAGCACAGTTTGAACATCACRGACCTCGGTTTTCTATTGATTGATCATTTCCCAGTGTAGTAGAGTGTGCCGTATGAACGGGCCTTCATTGATATTTTTGAATGCTCTCTTTCCTTTATAGATTCATTGACCTGTAACCTGCCTGTCAGCAAAACACACTTTAAACTACGCCCACACTTTGTACTTTGTGCCAAAAGCTTGTGGAGAAGAGAGATCAATGTTTGTTATAAAACGTCTCATTTTTATGTTGGATTGACTTTTACTGATTGATTTTAAAACCTGTGATTGTGAAGAAATGTTGAATAAAATGTCTGAATACCGTGTCTAAAACTTTCAGTGTTGATACTCTCTTATGAGGTGAAAAATCAGGGCATTTCATTGGGTAAAATGTTAATCATGAATCCAAAATTGTTATATCTGTAAGCACTGGATCACAACAATGTACTTCTGTACCAACGAGACAGCACAGACAGGAGGTAAGTGAAGCTGATGGAAATACATAGTGTCGCGGCAAGATGGGCAGAAACACGTTGAAAGGATGTTAAAAAGACAAAAAGTCTTGCGRGTATGGTCGTAAAATCATTTATTAATGGGCAGACAAAGAACAGAAAACAATCAGGAAGTCTGTTGGATGTGGCCGCCCGTCTGAGGGCGGAAAAGCAATGTTATACCTTCAGCTAACATCATGTGACAATGAACAACCAATCACAACCTGCCTCATGTCACTAACAGCCAATGACAAGCTCTAAACCCCAAGGTGACCATATCGTTACGTGGAAAGAGGCCATCTTGATGTTATAGCCTCTGACGTCYGGAGCCACAGATTAAAGAAACAGTCWTAAGATATTACGAGATATGAAYAGTGGACAGTGTCAAGGTGACAGAAATAATTAGTCCATGACAATAGCATTTATATTATATTTTCCTTGCATCCCACTCAGTTCTCAACTTTTTGTCAGAGAAGTTTAAATCGTGCACCTTAAGGGGCGGAGCCAGAGGGGTGGCCAGGGTAGAGAGTGCCACACCTGGCACCTGATAGGCCATCCATAAATAAAAAAATTGGTGTGAATCTTGGATTTTAAAAATAGCATTTAGAGTTTGTTAAAAATATTCTCTGATACTACTGTACTACATAATTTATGTGTTTAAAAATATCTAAATTCTAGCTCTTTGTGAAATTAGCATTAGTGGTTAGCTTAACTTGGGATTAGCATCTGTAATCAATGTGATCATTAGCTATTTCACAACAAATATCTTTAAAAGTTTTAAAAAGTTTTTAAAAAGTCAGCTGCTGTTTAACTTGAATTTTGATTAGCATTTAGAATATAGATTGCTTTGAGCTATGTCAAATTTTATGTCTAAGCACGGCTGAATAGTTAGTTGTGACTAGCATTCAGCATGTAATCAGCATTTATTTCATTATTATTAGTTCACTAGCAAGGACCACGCCACACAGATTACATTTAAAGTTTTATTGTAGGGAGGGGATGAAGGGATGAGAGGATGAAGAAGGTTTGCTAGGTCATCTGGGGAGACTGCTGGAGGGCTTGAGAGATGAAGAGTCAGTGTGGGGGAAAGGTTAGGAGGTTAGGCTTAGGATTAAGATTAGGGGTATGGTCTTCAGGAAAATTTATTTCTTATATGTTTTTCCAGAGTCAGCATAGGACCCCACCAGACGGAGCCTGCAGTGAAAGGAAGTAAAGCATGGTTATGAGACAGGGAAGGAAAGGGAGGATGGGGATGATGAGATGAAGGGAAGGATGGGGAAGAGGTTATGGGATGAAGAGGGATGAGGTAAGGGAGGGTGGGGTTGATGAGATGTAACAGACTGAAAGRARTGGGTGAGCAGAGATTAAATAKGCTGKTAGGGAAARTGGAGGAGTGGTTTTAGGCAYGATCCTGCTGCCAAACCTAAGTTAACACATTAACTTCATTTATGACACAAGATTTCAGCTCAATATATTTTTWAACAGTTTAATTAAAGCCACTTGGAATGAGATGTGTTCATTTTGAATTTTCAAATGCAGASGGCTTTTATTTATTTKTATGTGCCCMTCTAAAAACACCTTGGCCACCCCTGTGGCCCCCTTGCAGAAAAGTATTGCTCCGCCCCTGCTYAAGTCAGTTTTTATCAAGTTCAGACCAAATTTGAAGCCAAACCTGTTTGTCCATACTGTTTTAACAGTATCACTGGTAATATTTAGGATTACATCAAAAGTTATCTGTGAGTTGAGGACCTTTCACAGAATGCAAAACACTGTTTTTCCTGTATGTATGTTAATTGTTCTGGATATGAGGATGCCTCTATACAGACACTTTTAAAWATGRCCTCAAMACATTTCTTTTTAACAGATCTAGATTTGATCCCAAGCAAAGTTTGAAGAAAAGTAATGTTTTTAAATGAGCGKTTTGATGTAGTTGCCTCATGCATGTGTCTCATCTGATATAAATCTTGGCTTACATAGAGAATCTGTTTTATTTTGCTGTTATCAGAAAACAGGTAACGACAGACTGAGGATTTTCTCCTGACTGACTCCAGCAGCAGTTTAATTTTCCAACAGGCTTCACTGTGTTAAAGCTTGACAAACTGGCGGGGGTTAATCCACCTGCCTGCCGAGTCCCAATATRACTTTAGAGGTGGTTTTATGAACACAATATGAAATGTGAAAAAGYCAACAGCTAAATCTTTATTTTATTTTTGCCCACATTTAAGTCCTAACATCAAAATGAAATCCTAACTTTTCGGATGGAGAAAATAACCSCGTGATTACAGATTAAATACATTCTCTCAACATCTTGTTAATTTAATGTTGACGTAAAACAAACTCTCAATTTCCTGACTGCTAGAGGTCAAATATTTTAAAAGCGTAATTCTGCTTCCCTTTTCTTTGCACAACAAAACAAACAATAACACCATTTATGAGAGTTTACTCTGGGCACGTTGCTTCTTCATTAATGATGTTTTGTTTCATTTTTTTGCCTCAGGAGTCAGACAAGATGTGGATCTGAACTCAGTTCTGATGCCATCACGATTTTACAAACTTTCTAAGAATCCAGACATCTAAGACGTATCAMTGCAATCTGGTTTAGCCTTTTTTTTTAAAAACTGTAAACATCAAACTTGATGAAAGAGTAACTTGGAAACCTGATTTAAAACAAATGTTTTCTCCTTGTTTTTAAAGGATTTGTCAGAACTTGATTCAAGGCTTGACGGAGGAATGGAGACCACATGAGCTGTTAGTAAAGATAAGTTTATAGTTCACACAAATCAGAGCAGATGCAAACAAGACTAAGCCAGTGTGTATATATGTTTGTGTGTTTATATCTACAGTATGTATGAATGTAGGCATGTATGTATGTATATCTTTATATATGTATGGGTATGTGTATATATTTATATCATGCCATCCATGTATTTATCCATTTATTTTTAGGAGAGCGGACAGATGTTGGGTGTGTGGTCCTGTGTTTTCTTGGTGTATATTTAATCTACTTCTAATCTCTATTTCAATCTTTCTAATTACTTTTCTCTTTGTTTTTCGCTCTTTTACTATTTTCTATTTACTTTAAAAATCACTGATGATAAAGAAATTAAGAAACTGATATTACATTTTTTTTCTACTGWAGTAAAAAAAATTAAAATAAACAAGACTAAACCAAACAAGTCCAGCTCCTCCGTATTAGGTCAACCAAAACTTGTCTCTGCTCAGCAGACTCGTAGGAAAAGGCCTTCACACAAGCTGTTTTACTCCACAGATCTTAAAGTTTTCTCTAGATGCGAGAGAAAAGCTCTGTTTTTTATAACTTTCCATCGCCCTGCTTGATTCCTGATATTTATCCTCGACAGTCATCACACTGTTTCATACGACGGGGTATTAGGGCCACTTTGCAGATGAAAAAAAGAGGAGCAAATCTCTGAGAGAAAAAACTCATAATTTCTGAGATTCATTTCAGAAAAATTCGAGAAAAAACAGGCAATTCTCCTATTTTGAAAAGTCRCAAATTTGCAAGAAAAAAACTCTGAAATTTCCACAATTAAAGGCAGAAATTTGCGACATTTAAACCAGATATTTTCTGACATGGTAAAGTCAGAAATTTACAAGAAAAAAACTCGTAAATTTATGAGAAAACACCTCTGAAGTTTTCAGGAATGGCTAAAGGGCGATTCCACCTGTTTTCACTACCTTAAGCATCTTTAATCTGCTCTAGTTTAAAAACTAAAACACATAGAGACTTCAAACYTGGACTAGATTATTCTACACTGATTGCAGAGTGTTTAAAGCCAAGTGTGATTTGTGAAACATATAATTGATATGTGAGCTTAAGTAAATACGGTGATTTCAGCACTTTTTATGCATTTTATAAACAAGCACCGTGTCAAAGAAGATGATCGCCGAAACAAGAACGATGAAGTCGGCGAGAGCTATCACGTTTTTAAAAGTCGGACACGTTTCGATTGTTGGCATTGAAGCGCATTGAGCCATGGCTTTCTTCTTGTAGCAGCTTTGCTCGACTTTCCTAGAGGAATTTGGTAAAAGGTGCAATCTCCTTCATCTTTTCCTCRGTCATGCTGCCTCAAACAGTTATACACACTACATAAGTCACTTTTCCTCATTGCCATCATTGGAAGCAGTGTAAACACTCGACTCATACGGCAAATGATCCCCCTTCCATGAATGCACAAAAACTGCGTGTTCATTATGACCGAAATGTGCAAAAGGTCAATTAAAGTATCATTGTAATATTATATAGAATTAGAAGCAAAACACTGTTTTAAAATGATGCTGAGAACTTTGACAGACGTGGCAGTTTGTCTGAGTCACTTTGCAGAAACCTTGCATTTGTTCCTTCACAGCTTTGGACTCAGAATTTGTTTTGATCATCTCAGCACAGAAGGCAAAGTTTAATGTCTTTTGATTCAAAGAAAAAAAAATGAGATGTAAAAATATCATCTYAGATATGTTTAGGACAGCCAAGGACTTCCTGTCAGAAATAACCTTCTGTGCAGACGCTGACTGACCTTATAAAGGAGACGACTCTCTCTGGTGAATAATTCATAAAGAAGAAAGGAAACCTGAGGAGGCGCAGGATTCCCGAGTGACAGGAGCACTGGTCCACTGCAGGTATTGTTATTTCATTTAACACAACGAGTTGCAGTAAAAGAGATCAAGTAGTTTATCTTCAGTTTTATTGTGTGAGTTTACAGCTTTGAGCAAACGGTGACTTGTGCTTTGTTTTGTTTTGCAACCATAGAGCTAACACAAATGCAATATGTTGTGTGATTTATTATTTTATGACCTTTTTTATTGTATTTGACACATTTATAAAGC